ATGACCGCGATTTTGCCAAATTTTTATCATGCGTTTTGTCACGTTTACTACGCCATGGCAATAGCCCGTTCACCCCCGGTCTGATCATATGATCAAATGTGTGGGGGCAACCCTCCCCTCTATGTAGGTCTACACCAGAGCACGTATATTATATTATGATATACGTGAATTGTCTACACGCAGCAGCAACGCCGCGTCGCACCCATAGAAAACAATCGGCGCTTCCTAGATGTTTTGAATCCAGTCGTCATGAATAAGTCATGAATCCAGTCAGTAATGAGTAAGTCATGAATCCAGTCAGTAATGAGTAAGTAATCATGTGTAGCGTACCATAACAGGGGTAGCGCACCGGCTGTCTCACTGTGCTACGTCGATACCCGTATAGCTACCTCGTTTGGCAGACTAAACTAGCTGTCGTCGTTAGTGGTGGTACATCGATATTGTCATCTGCTCATTCTTTACATACTGTCGAAGTTCCAATGTGTCCACGCCGCATCGTACCGGAGCGTTTATTGGTTGCCAAGATATAGAGCGGGTACGACTCGAAAACAACATACATATATTGTTCTCAGGTTATTCAAACGACTGGATTCTATCATTTATATGAAACGCGTGGGGTAATCACAATAATTGCTCAAGGTACATCGTGTATACATACATATATATAGCGAGAGTGAATTTTTATTTCTGATAGATGTTAATTAAAAGCAATTCCACTTGAGTAAAAATAATGCAGTTTTGATGCTTTGTGTTTTAAAAGCAAATCAAAAAGATATGATAAATATATAATAATATTATTAGTTTTAATATTTGAAATATTTAAAGCAATACCGTCATTGAATTCTGCTGTATTTAGCATAGACACACGTACACATGCACGCACGCACGCACGCACGCACGCACACGCACACGCACATTTATTTATTTGTTTGTTAATTTATCTAGTTTTTTTTATATTTTTTATAACATTTCATTCTTTACCAGAAATTTTAACGGGGCTACCGACACGTTTGATGATAAAGTTTGTAACTAACCAGTTTATAACTATACTAAAGACGTACGGTAAACGTAAAGCATGCATATAATGACTAGCGTTTGTTGATGGCGTTTTATTGAATCAACTGGCAACCATATCAAAATGCAAGTGATAAACATTAAAATGTTTTGAGCAAGCGTTTGTAAACATCTTGTAACCATCATATTAACGTTTGGCGAACGTTAAAAACATTTTTCCGACGTTTTTATTGAAATAATCTATAACCATACCAAAAACGTTAAATATTCGTTAATAAAATGTTTCTCGCAAACGTTTGTCATGAACCTACATATAACCTTATTATTAACGTTTTCGAACGTTAAACGTGTTTGTTAAACCAAACCATAATACAACCAAATCTTAACGTTGCGAAAACGTTATGCGTTGGCAGGGTATAGGTACCGATGTAACACAGGCGACCCGCTTCCTCTGTTTTCAGTTGTCCGCAAACTGGACATACATCAGTTATACATTAACAACCATAACTTACATAATGTGTATCGCACGCACACACAATCACGCACGGACGCATGCACGCACGCACGTTCACGCTCACGCTCACGCTCACGCTCACGCTCACGCTCACGCTCACACTCACGCTCACACTCACACTCACACTCACACTAATACTCATACTCATACTCATACTCATACTCACACTCACACTCATACTCACACTCACACTCACACTCACACTCACACTCACACTCACACTCACACTCACACTCACACTCACACTCACACTCACACTCACACTTATTCTCTCTCTCTCTCTCTCTCTCTCTCTCTCTCTCTCTCTCTCTCTCTCTCTCTCTCTCGCTCTCTCAAACACAAACACTCTCACACATACACACTCACACACTCACACACCCTCACACACTCTCATATACACTCACTCACACACACTCCCACATACACTGCGACAAAGCGCACATAATAACGGTAACGTACATAGAGGGTACTTATCACAGTCAACGTGATCAAATGGCTGCGTTGGAGAGACCGTTTAGCTACGCGCAGCGATTTTAATCGGAATGTTCGTCTTTGTAGAGCTCGTCAATGGCTCTAATTCGAAACTATAAGCGCCGTTGGTGATTAGATGATCCGGCTCCGCTATGACACACGAATAAACAGCTCTGCCATTTAGCATCAATGTTTCTGTAACGGCGCCCCCTTCGGGTGCTTTCCGTCTATGAACATGGGGATATTCTTTCATGATTTCTGTGCAGGGTACCAGCTTCTTCTTGAAACTTGTCTCAGCTTGGTGACGCCAGCCCTGATTACCGCATGTGAATACTTTCTTGTTATCATTGGAGCCATTGATAGAGTGCTTCAAAAAGCCAAGCGTGTCCCGAGGGGAAGGGAACATATATGGGCCATAGGGTCGCTGATGCAATGGGAATACCATCGCTCTCGGGTAAACTCGATGTGGTGTCTTGCGCATGTGGTGCTCCCAGACATGCGTCGAATTCTCGTCGTAGAAGGATATGTCAATGAAGGGCCATGACCACGCGTACTTCCACTTCTTCGGTGTGCTTTTCAGGTGAAACTTGTCGTATTTTTTGTCGGTATGGTTTGTGACCGTGTATTCCGGTGCTAGGCTGAGCAATAACTTCTCGGCGTGACGTCGCTCGCCAACCTTCACCACGATGTCAATGTCGTCGTCCCAAGGTAGTAGGTCATGGCACATGTATGAACCTGGAAAGAACGCACAACATTGGAAATCAGTGATACAGTGATATGTAGCTATACATGATTTCTCTGAACATGGGACGTCTGTGTGTACAGGTGCTGTACGTGCTACTAAATTCTTGTTTGCTTTCACAGGACATATGGTATCACATAGACGTTACCAAGAGCACACAAACCTTGCCCAAAGGGTTTACGTGTTCACTGTTGTCGTTATCCACTGCGTACATGCACCATAATGTACACTGACCTACGACGACGATCGAGACACGGAAACTAAGTACTTATTGTGTTAGACACCCTATATATGGGTGAAAGGAGAATCCTTCGATTTAAAGCCAAACCTCGTCCAGGGGCGGATCTAAAGGGGGGGGGGTCCGGGGAGTCCGGACCCCAACCCTTTAATTTCAAAGTGCTATAAAAAATTTATTCTATATAGCAAAACTCCCAGTTGGTCTACACCCATTTCGCCTACTCCCAACTCGACGAAATGGCATTATTACCCATTCTGTGATTAGACGAAATGGGAGTCGGCAAACTGGGATGTTACCAATGGTTTTCAGGCAAGGCTTTACTGTTTACCATTATATCAATCAACAAAGGATTGGTCTCATTTTGCCATGTTGGGAATACACGGATTAAGTGACTAAGCAACTGTAAACAGATCATAAAAAGCGTATATGGTTATGTGTTGATCTGAAATGTTAAAACCGCGCCGCCGTATAGTTTTAGTAAAACTGTATTACTTTACCTACGTACAAGTTTAAATTCAACATATTTATTCATCACCGTAAATTGGATAGTATATTCGATGAAAGATTTCATGAAGGTGATATGGTAGTGAAAGACCATGCATGATACCAAATGTCAGTACATTGATTGTACCGTAATGTGCCATGTTGTTAGAACGTTATTCACGAACGTTATTCACGTAACCAAACTACAACATACCCGAAATGTTGCTGCACGACTTTCGTCTGCTCTTGCTGCATTACCATATTCTATCACGTTTCCTGAACGTTGCTATCATAGAAATATATAGAGAGACGTACGTCTAACTAATAGATTATTTATATGGTTGCTACATAACGTTTTCGGAATGCGTATAACGTTGGTTTACAAGGTTTCTGGAACATTATTCACGAACAGGGCCGGACTGGGAAAATCATTCAGGCTGAGAAATATAACGCGAAATATGGCCCTAGTCGGGCCACCTTTTAAGCGGGGGTCTGGGGCGGGTCCCGGGACGCGAATTTTTTTTCTCCACTGCTGTTCCGGACCCTAACCCTAACCCTAATCCTAATTAAATTTAATTAAATAAAAAAAAGTGGGAAAAATAATTTCGCTCCCGGGACTCCTCCACCAAGAAAATGTTTGTTACAAAGACTTCATTCCATGCATTCTGGTGAATTTTAGTGCATCTGAATCACAAACTAATGAGCCAACATTTTAGTACAATATATACTGTTATGAACCTTAAATAAAACAAATATACATATCATAAAAAGAGGGGGACGACACAAGGACTAACATTTAACCAATATTTATTAAATAATAAATAACTAATGTAATAATCATTTGGATGTACATACAACAACAACAAAATAATATATATATATATATATGCCTGCAGGTCGCAGATTTTTTTTTAATTTGGGCAGGCCACTTAGCAGGCCAGGCCACCGGGAAAACTCCCGGTGCTCCCGATCGCCAGTCCTGCCCTGTGCACGAAGGTCATTAATATCAGGAGTAGATAATAGGGACCCTATTATCTACTCCTGTTAATATACAGCCAAACCACAACATTCCAGGAACGTCACGAATACGTTATGTGTTAGCTGGGCATATATGTCAGATGGTTATACGTAGTTTTTATATTTCAATTTTAAAATTTATTTACCTATGTATACATTTTCTACCGTTGATTGGCTCTTGAAACGAATTTCTCATGGGTTAGAAGTACGGTCGAACGTTTTTTCGCTATATGTATTTGCACGACTCTACTTCGACCGCTACTCATTAATAGCATTGGTTGTACGTAAAGTTATCGAGAAAAGGCAGAAAAGAAAAACAACTGTGCAAAATAAATTCAGGTTGCTTACCGTAGAGTGCTCCTCCAAATACAAAGTAGGGAACTTTGTTTTCTTTAAACACCATATCTACTAAATTCATCAGTGACATTATCTTCCAGTATTGCACTTGCGTAATTGCACGGGGTGCAATTTTGCTGTCTATCCAGGGAAGGGGCTCATGCTGACAACACTCAGTGCATGTCTGCGGTATCGAATAATATATGCTTTCTTCATTTGGTTGAGAGAATCTTGTGTCTGTAAGCCCGTACGCGGCGATTCGCACACTTGTGCCATGCGTACTAAATGTAATTACGCCAAGTAAGGTGGCCAGTGCAACTGTTCCAAAACCAACCACGAGGTGCTTTGTAGACATACTACACTCATGCGATCCGTTTGCTATAGTGCCGTCCAGGTGAGTCGCCACGCGACAGCATACTCGCCGAAAATGGATCAATTCCAGAACTAATAGCCACCCACGTGACAGAGCAACCTGGTATAGCCGTGCGTAAAGTACCGCACGTGCGAATATCTTATAAATGAGTAGGGCCTACAGTAACTGAATAATAAAGCTACGTCATCGGCGGGGATCACTCTTCGGATATTATATTATATTATATTATATTATATTATATTATATTATATAATATTATATTATATTATATTATATTATTCGGATATTATATATTATATATCACTCTTCAGATATTATATTATGTGCTGTGGCGTGCTGCTATTCGCGCAGGGCTCCAACCTGGCCACGGTAGCCAAGATGACCGCGATTTTTCTACATTTTTATCATGCGTTTTGTAACGTTTACTACGCCATTATCCCGTTCGCATGATTTTTATTCCCAATCAGATAGGCAGTACTGACTGTGATATTGGGCTCATAAATCTTCACAACTCACCGCGCGCGAAACCGCCAGCCAATCAGCGCCGCTTATGCAAATTAATGCCACTATCTGAGTGGGGAAAAAAATCACGCATCCCGTTCACACCCGGTCTGATCATATGGTTTGATAGTCTATGTAAACATGCAAAGGTTCACGCAGCGGTCAAGCTGACGCTAATACTGAAGCACTTCGAAGCCATATAACCACGCCACGTATACTGGGGCAACCCCGATATTTAATGCTGAAATTGTACTAAAACGAGCTGCCTTGCGGCTTGCGATCGCTGCGACGAGATTCGTAGGCACAATGAACAATGCGAATGGAACTATCGCTCATAGGGTCTATGTCCCCCAGAGTACTATCAGAGGGTACCCTGGGTACGGTTCGATATATCGGAACGTACCCTGGTAACTAATTGATATGGTTAGGGTTATGGTTAGGGTTAGGGTTAGGGTTAGGGAGTATGCGTAGGCGACTCCCTATAGACTCGTAGTGGAGTCGGCGAGGTACGGTCCGGCATATTAGATAGTACCAGGGTACGTTCCGATATATCGAACCGTACCCAGGGTAGGGGCCTACCCTCTTATAGTACCCTGGAGGACATAGAGCCTCTCAGCAGAACTATCAGTGGATACAGTCATGTAGGCCCCTACACAATATGTACACATCGACAGTCATGAAAACTCAGTTTATTACAGTTATGTACATGTACATAATGGCAAATGTTTTAAGGCCGGTCCTAAGAAAGCTTCACCCATAAGCTAAAGAAAGCTCCATCCATAAGAAATCTCAGCACAGATTCCCAAATCCACGTCACGATTAGGCCACGTGAATCGTTGAAACTTTCAAATCGTTGATTTTACTGGATTTACTATTAATTGCTTCAAAAGTTACAAAAACACATTTTTTGATAAAATACGTAAAGGTAAGTAATATTATGGTAAAAACTTATTGTTTATTGTTTTTTACTGAAAAAATATAGCTGGGTTCTGTCACATAAGAAATATATGACCGGACACGTAGCCTGGGAGCTGGGTGTCCGGTAACCGGTAACCGACTTGCATTGAGAGGCAGCTTCATTCACTGTCTACTTTTGTTAGTCGTTGTTGCCTTATAATTATCACTAATTACAGGTTGAATAATTGTTATTGCGTGTTTCTGAATCACCGATGTTGGTTTGTATTATGCGGACTTATATATCGGATTATATAATATTTGATGCGTCAATGTTTGATTGCACACTATAGTTTGGCATGTTGATTTACTGTACGTATAGTATAGTACGCTTGTGGATTGCGTGGCATGTGTTGATTTTTGTGACGTAGGAGTACCTTCCGGTGCCTAATCAAATTAAGGTGATCTTCTCCGGTGGGAAATCGTCAACACACGTGTCTAGTGTATTGGCTTCTATGCCTACGCCTCACTAAAGGGGACTTCTCGGGGGTGTAAGATGTGTTCAGGACAAGACAGGCGACCCGGACTCGGTTCATTCCGTCTCCGACCGGATTCGAGTTATTCTGTCTCTGACCGGATTCGGGTCATTTCGCCTCTGGTTCAGGTCATTCCGCCTCTGACCGGACTCGGGTCATTGCGTCTCTGACCGGATTCGGGTCATTTCGCCTCTGGTTCAGGTCATTCCGCCTCTGACCGGACTCGGGTCATTGCGTCTCTGACCGGATTCGGGTCACTCTATCTCAGCTATGAATCAACGCATTGCGTGTAATCGCAACGAATCTGGGATTCCATTCCGGAATGCCAAGACACTCTGTAATGACAAACCGACCGTAATGTTTGAGGACATTGTAAATATTATATTAACGATGTTTTCCAATGAGCTGTTGCGCCGACACGCGATAACATCCGGCGATAACCGGCCACATGCTGCACCAGTTCACACCGTTAATTTGCTAATTCATCACATCAGAAGTAGATAATAGGGAATCCCTAGGGAATAATAGGACTTCCCTATTATATACTTCTGATCATATCTAAGCGTTATTCAAGAAGTAATAAGTAGCGCGCGCTCAAAGTGTTCAGATTTATATACCACCTACCCTGCTAACAGACAGTGCGATTTCAATGAAGCTAACATCTGTCACGGGATTCCATTCCGGAATGCCAAGACACTCTGTAATGACAAACCGACGGTAATGTTTGAGGACATTTTAAATGTTGCATGCGCACTCACGCGAGAACGTCCGGTGATAATCGGGCACACGCTGCACCCGTTCACACCGTTAACTACACAGAGGGCACTCAAAGAGAGTGCATACTTCCGCGAACGTGTAACGTGTATACATGTGTATAACAGCTGGCTCGCTGCTGGCTACACACACACACGAACACACACACGCGAGCGATTGCATGACCTCCGTTTGCGCGGAGGTAATTAACGTGTCTCGTTGCCTGGTAGGCTACATACAGTCTAGACACATCAGACGATATTCTTGTAGTAGCTACTCCAAGTGTTGAGGCGTATATACCACCTACCCTGCTAACAGACAGTGCGATTTCTATGAAGCTAACACCAGCTAATTAACGTGTCTCGTCGCGGCGGGTGGTCTACAAACAGTCTAGCCACATCTACACACGCACGCACGCACGCACGCACGCACACACACACACGCACACACACATTCTTAGATATAGGCCCCCTACGTGGTCTAACAAAAACAACCTCCCTCGTGCATTGCTCCTTTGTGAGGTGATGAAACCAGTCAAGTTGCTCCTATACAGAACGTGGCTAGTCACACAAGCACGCACACACACCCTCTCGCGCACGCACACACATACACACATACATTTATTTATTTATTTGTTAATTTATTTATTTATTCATTTTTACTTATATTAATAATAGCTGAAGTCTAACGAGTGATTTATGGTAGGGGTACATAGTTAGCACAACTTAACAACGCCTACCGAGCATAAATTTCGGATAGCTTCATACTCACAGTTACACACGCACACACGAGCACACAAGCGCACATTTTTTGATAGAAAATATTATATATAAAAGTATATAATTATTTAACCATAATAGTACACCAGCCAATATGTAATTTTTTTACTTTGGGTGCATTTTTTGTTAATAGCAGGCATCCATGCTAATCAGTCATATTGGCATTACCAGGAATGATCAAGCCAGGGACAAGTTTTGTATCACATGGTCAGAACGATCACGCATCACAGAGAACATCAGATCTCTCTACAACCTTGAAGACGATAAAGAAGAGACCACTTTCACCCGTTCTGATAGTCGTCCAGCACGCACAAGGCGTGATATTGATGATGTGATGAAGCTTGCCACACAAGTGACAAGATTTGATGTATTCCGAGTACACACTACCTTGGCTGAAGGAGATGGAGACTGTGACACGGACGGAAAAGACATACCATTGGTATCACTGGCAACAAAAGATACTGCATCGAATGACGTGGTGAGAACCTTCGCTGATCTGTACAAAGCAAATGTATCTACTAAACAGAATGTACAGAAAACAATCAAAGCTGACAGAAAGCTACTGCAGCGATTGCTCAATGCTGTCACCGCCGGGCGACCACTGAGAATGGCGACCATTCTCAAGCATGAACTGTCCCCAATCCCACTGTCTTTGGCCAAGGCTGGAGGAAAGATAAACCCTGCTTCAAAGTCGGAGCTGATTAGCATCTTGATGGCAAGACTACAAGTACCCCCTGAAGTTCCAGAAGCTGACATGAAGACATGTGTGCTTATAAATGATCACGCCCTTATCCAAGCTCTTGGAAAGCCTTTCGGGTGTCAGACATTTGGTGAATATGCTGATGTGTTTGTAAAAACTGTAACACGTCACTTCGGACAGCACACAACAAGAGTTGATGTTGTATTTGATTGCTACATCGGTGAAAACTCCATCAAGACAGTGACTCGCTCAAAGCGACTGGGAAAAAAGAAACCAATTCACAAGCTCATCGATGGGCCCAATGTCCCACTCCCACAGGTTTGTGTCCAGTTCATTGCCTTGGATGAGAACAAAGCTGATCTTGCCAATTTCTTGTCTGAGGAAATCATAAAGAAAGGTAAAGATCTGCCCGGGCTATTTGAGCTGGTAACCGGAGGCGGATTTGCAGATGCTACTGATACAAGGTCAACAAGGAGAGATGACCCCAGGCTTCACGGAAATCATGAAGAGGCTGATACCAGGCTGATACTCCACTTGTGTGAGGCAGTTAATGAAGGATACCAAAGAGTGCTCGTAATCTGCAGAGACGCAGATGTCATGCTACTTCTGATACACTTTGTATAAACAAGAACATCCGAAGTGTGGATGGTGTCTGGAACAGCATAGAATCAGAAATGTTACCCACTACATGCCGTATCTGAGAGACTTACACAACCTGTGAGGGAAAACCTGCTCAGCTTCCATGCGCTAACAGGTTGTGACACAACTTCTTATTTCAGTGGCCATGCAAATAAGTCATGCTAGAGAGCCTTTGAAAGCCAACTACTTCTTGTCAAGGGGATCGGT